CGGGCCTTCCCCACCCCACCCCCAGGGCCTCCGGAGGCAGGAAATAGCCAGCTTCTGGTGGCCCAGAAGTCCCGAAAATCAGCCGCAGCTGAGCTGGCGTGCCAGGCGACATGGTTCGGCGTGCCACCTGTGGCATGCATGCCATAGGTTCGCCATCAAGGTTATAGGTCATCAACACCATCCAGAGGCTATGCTGATGTTATCGTCATATACAGTTTATTTAAAACTTTCCCAATCTGGTGCGCTCCAAACATATTGGGACAAGAATTCTTAAAATCAATTGGAAAAGCTGGAAAAACTATGCTTAACACAGTACTGTTTGGGAATTATGGAGAATGATTTCTCAACCTTCTGGAAGTGACCAGGTTGGAGAGAACTGCTATAGAGAGGCAACAAAGCTATGAAAAACGATAGCATTGGAACAAAAAAACCTGAACAGATATTGCGCTGTTGGATACTTTACATTAGAAATCAATAGTCCACAGTTAACCTCACTGTGCCGAGACAGCAGGAATTTGTAACATTTTATAAGCATGAAAGATTTCATCCTATTGCCTTTAAGTGTTGCTAGAAAATTGTCTGGCAATTTATGAATTTATAAAAATTGATTCCATGGCTCTTACTTGTCCTAGGCACAGATTCAGTACAACAGCTAAAATATATGCCCCACTTGAGTTGAAGACTTTGTAATTGAGTGCATGAAGACTTTAATTATATATTTTCTCAAAATCAATGAAGTATTGAAAATGAATGTAGATATAACATTTTAATATAAGAACTGGAACACACAAACCTATCAATTGATCTCTTCCTTAAACTATGGTTCCTCTGAAGCATTTACAATTTATTAATACTTGTACAAGGAAAATATAATTCTGCCATTACAATGTCTACTACTGCATCAGGTGTTTAAGTACATAGATAATCTTAGCTTCTAGGAACAGAATGAACAGGGACAATTAAAAGGAAATACCTGGAAGTTATATTCTTACTCTTTTGGTACAATGTAGTCAAAAATTAGGGAATTCGAAAAAGCATCCTGCCATTGTACTGAAGGGGGAGGTGGATGGAGATGGAATGTTTGGGTTTTTTCTGCTTCTGCTCAGGAATTAGGGAAGGGAACCATCTTCAGAGACTGGACGGACTCGTTCCCAGCTGCTTTTCATAAGGTCAGAGGGGCTGGGATTGGGAAACCGAGAGAATTACCATATTTTTCGGAGTATAAGATGCTCCAGAGTATAAGACGCACTTTATAGAGGAAAATAAGAAAAAAAAATTCTGCTTGAGAGGTTCTGTTTGAGAGGCTGCGTTTGCAGCCTCCAAAAGCGTGGGGCCCAGCGGGTGGGCCGAGCTACATTTGGTGTACAAGATGCACCCAAATTTTCACCTCTTTTGGGGGGAAAAAGGTGCGTCTTATATTCTGAAAAATACGGTACTTTGTGCTTTGCATGGGAACTTCAGATTCCGCCTGACTTCATCCAATTTCTCTCAGTAAAAGTTATTTTCATTCAACTCAATGGATTCAAGGGTTTTGCTTTCCTGAGGGGGCCGACTGGGGCAGGTCTGACATACAGGTAGTTCACAATTGAGACCAAATTGTATGTTGCTAAATGAGACATTTGTTAAATGAATTTTGCCCCATTTTGCAACCTTTTTTTGCCATAGTTGTTTAGTGAATCACTGCAGTTGTTACGTTAGTAATATGGTTGTGAAGTGAATCTGGTTGCCCCACTGACTTTCCTTGTCAGAAGATTACATAACCATTGCAACCGTCATAAGTATGAGTCAGTTGACGAGAGTCTGAATTCTGATCATGTGACCATGGGGATGCTGCAACAGTCTTAAGTGCGAAAAATGGTCGTAAGTCACTTTTTTCAGTGCTGTTGTAACTTCAAACGTTCGCTAAATGAACTGTTTTGAATCTAGGACTACCTGTACTACACTGAGTTTCAGCACAGTTTAATAGTCTGGGTGAATGAGCCGGTATTAAGTTATTAATAAAGTGAATAGTTTATTGAGTCCCCAGGAGTGAGAAATTAAGCGAACGAGATGAGGAACAGCCTGTCTCAAGAGCACATGTTCAGCAGGCAGGTGCATTTTTACTACAGTTTCATTTCAATATAACCTTTGAAATGCAAGTGGTGACCTCTTCGAAGTTGTTAATTTTATTACAACTATGGTAGATGAGGATAATTTCTCTTTCTTAATTTTAAATCTGGCTAATTCTAGCTAACAAATTCTTTCACTTTTTCCATTAATAAATCTATTCCCTCCAAGGGATTTTCAACTACTAAAACCAAACCCTCTACAAATGCTCTAAAGTTATGATCTCTTTTTTCACTTTTACCCAATAAATTTTTTATCTCATCTTACATTTCTAGTAAGAACTTCCAAAGTCAAAATGAACAACAGTGTAAAAGTGGGAAATCTTGTCTTGTTCCTTTTTATACTTCATAAGGTTTAATCAATTCTCCATTGTCCATTATTTGTCCTGTTTGTGAGAGCTCTCTCTCTCCCATTTGAAGAAATAAAGAGAAAACTAAAACATTAGCAAAAGTATGAGAAAGGTTAGGACAGCCTAATCTTAAACTGCCCTTTTCAAGCCTGTTGTTTGATTTGGATGAAGCAATGGGTTCTGTTTGCGAAATAATAGAATGATAGAATAACTTGAGGTTTAGAATGACATGGGTTTAATGAGAAATTAAAATGAAGTCAAGAAAACAATTGACTGCAGAAGCATATAATTGTAAGTGGTTTTCATATGTAGTTTAAGGAAAGGTTCAATATGAATAAAAAAACAATTAGAATTGAAAAATATAAAATGGAATTGGAATTATGTACCAATGATAATTAGGTAATAGCAAAATGTATAAACTTTCGTAAATTTTGAAAAAAAAAAAGAACAGGTTTTAAAGATAGCATGACAAAAACGGCTGCTAAATTTGGAAATAAGATAGAAATGCATACTTGAGGCAGAATGTAGGTAATGGCTATTAAATTTAAACTGTGTCATAATTTAAGAGAAAATTTAAGAGAAAATTTCTATAAAATAATGTATCATTGGTAAATGATACCAAGAAAATTATCAAAAACGTATAAAACGTATTTCAAACCAATGTTGGAAACATGAAAAGCATGAGGGTGATACTGTATCATGCATGATGGAATTGTGAAAAAGCTAAGAAATTCTGGGTATAAATTCACATAATGATACAAAGGATTTTAAGGATTAAAATTGCTCTAAAACTAGAATTCTTCTTACTGAGACTTATGGATAATGAATATGAAAAGATTTGTGGTAAATTAATACCGTATATCGTATCTGCACTAAGATTATTTTATGTACAGCAATGGAAAAATAATGAAATTCCCATAGTGCAGGAATGAATTATGAAAATGTTAAAATCTGCAAAAATGGAAAACTGATCTGTTTGTTCAGAGAACAAATAATACAAACTTTTTTTTGAAAAAGTGGCAAAAGGTTATATGGATTTTTGCTGAAAGAAGAAGAAAAAAATTAATTAATTGATTAAATAAAGAGGCAAAAAGCGTTGGAAAATACCTACAAAGGGAAAAGGAACAATAAGAATGTAATTATCTGTTGAAAAGAAGCTCAGATATAATTTGTACATTTCTTAAATTTGGTCTTTTTCTGTTTTTTTTTCCTATAAGAAAAATGTCAGTATATATAAAACAGTAATTTCTCTTTCCTGCTTCCCACACTATACTAGCAGGTATTCACATTTTTAAAACTATGCATGTTTAATTTAGCAATCATTTGGACTTCTGAGCAATTAAGTAATTTATAAGTCCTTTAACATGTGAGTTCCAAAACTCATCTCAACAAAAATACTCTTTTTATTGTTTATGTTTGAGGTAGACAGAGAATCAGATAATCTAAAGAACCACTTTAAGCCAGACAAGACCAGATACCAAGTGCTGCTCCTAGGTGACTTGATTTGAGATGGACTGCATGTATATAAGCAAATGATTTTCCATAGACCTGAGCTGGTGTGACATTTCTCTGAAAGTAAATGTTTCATCTTGGATGACAACATCATAATCAATAGTTTGATCAGATAGAACAGAAATAAGGTAATGATAAACAAGGTCTGTAAAGCGTTCAGATACAGAAGTTTTATATTTTAAAATAAAGCAAGTTTTTTTTTCATATTTCTTTGTTCAACTTATTCAACTTTAATATATATAAATAATTAAAGTTACTGTAAATAAAAATCAGATCACAGAAGACTAGACTTTCTTAAATTTCCATATCCTTCTCAAAACTACTCTTGACTTTGACTTATAACTTGGAAGAAGCTTCCCGTCAATTTTAAAGCAAACTGCATTATCTTTGTTTTTTGATAAGAATTGTGTTGCTTCTGTAGTACAAAGCTCTTAGTTGGAGCAAATCTAGATCTCCTTGCCTAGGTCGATGGAACAACCCATTTGTCTTCACCTTAGTTTCAGACTAAAGAGAAAGGCCAAGGCCCCCTTCATTCCATTCAAAAGGAAAAAAATAATCCACTTTGAGTAACAAATAGACTTGAGGTCTCAATTTACATACATACATTTATGGGCGGTTGCCAGTGATTGTAAGATATTTTAAAAAGTTTAATAAATTACTCTGAAGATATAATTGAAGGGTATGGAATAAATACTGTATATTAGATGAACAAATCTTCATCTTCTATTTTTCATTTCTTTATGTAGGACAACACACATAGCTTTAACGTGTCATTTCTCCTAGAAATACTCTGGGGGCAAAATCCAATGTCCTGGATCATATTGCTTTTACTTTATGTTTTTAACTATCATGCCTTTTCTAATTAGGGCACTTTTGATTACGTTTTTATTCATTTTTACCCTGCTGCTTATATCAAGAGAAAGGAAACATCATGAATACAAGCACAATTCAGAATATAAATTGATAAAAGAATCACATAGAGATAAGCATAGAAATTACTCTCCAACCTGCATAAAAACTAATGCATACTTACATATACCAACAATAATTGAGAAGGCATGCTCCAGTCTCAGGCAAAAGAGAAGTCTGTAGAAGTTGAAAGACATCAAGGAGAAACATAAGATGACACTAATCCATTCCTGTAGCCTTTTCCCTGTTTAAAAAAAAAAAAAATTAAAGCATGGTGCTTTTTGCTCTGCTCGTATTAAAACAGCGACATATTAACCAACACTTAATATGAAAGTCTTGGAGGAACAGATAACAGGTAGTCCTCAATATAAGCCATGAGGATTGCTAAGGGAGGCAAGACCACAATCACTTTGCTTATTCACCTTTATCTCCTCTATGGCTACATGCCCTCCTTGCTTGTGAGCTGCAGAGCTCTTCCAAAGATAAGTATGTGATAGGTGAGAGGGGCTGGGAGGTGTGGGACCCAGTGGGGTGGGGAGCAGGCCCAACACCTGTGGGGAGCCGGTGAAGAGGGCAGGTAGGGGAGATGGGATAGGCAGGGGGCCTATCCTACGCAGTACTGCAGTGACTGCAACTTTGAAACTGGATGATATGTAGCTTTGGGGGGAATCTGTCATAAGGTCTCCTGGTTGCTAAATGACCAGTTGTACATCAAGGATTACCTGTACACCTCTTGCTGCTTAAAAAGGGATGAGCGAGACTTCGCCCTAATTTTTGGCAGAAGGAGCTGGCAGGCACTTTTTCATGTAAAGTATCTGCCATTAAGAGTTGTAGATGATAGATAAAATTTGCCCTCTTAGTATTTTATTTCTGAAAAAGCCCATTTTGGATTTATATGAATATTTTATTGCATCCATTTTTGAAATATTATACTTGGCACATTATGTTTTACTTGAATAGTTGAAAAATACCCATTTTTAAAAGTTGGGTTAATGAAATGGAGGAATTCAGTTTGGCTTCTGTGTGATCAAAATATTTTATCAAGCACTCCCATAATTCTGAATTTTCCTTGCATAGTGGCAGGGAAACCATAAAAAGACAACTCCTCCAGCAAGCATAAACGCTAGCCTTATCCCAGGGAGAGGTACACACAGTTCTTCTGCCTACATCCTGCAGTATGTTGACTATGTTGTCTCAAATGGAAAAAGGAAATTCAAAAGTAGTGATTTTGTGGAAGCAGGTTTTGGAACCCACATAGCTCTCATATGTAGGACAAAGCATAGATTATTAGCTTGACAATATGTTTTTTTTAAGTATATGTGAAATAATAATAATAATAATAATAATAATAATAATAATAATTTTTTATTATTATTATTATTATTATTATTATTATTATTATTATTATTATTTATTATTATTATTATTCAGTATTCATGACATCAAAGCTAACATTCTGCAGAGAAGCAATCACACCCTAAACAGAAGACTTTAAATGTTAAAGTCCACAAGGAACAATTAAGATGTTCAAAACATCAGGACACTTACATTTTATCTCCCAAAGGAAACTATGCTCAATCTCCTTGTGAAAGTAACCCTGCCATTTCAAGTCAAACACTAGTTCGGTACATATTAAGCAAGCATTGATTAAACTATAATTTACTGAATAAATCAACAGGGCTTATGACACACTAAGTCATAAATCATGAAATGCACAATGAACAGTCATATAATATCCTAAACCAGAATCAATTAAATCATTTACATCTTAAAGTGAAACCAAAGTTTCAGAATTGTTTATATATAAGAATGAGGGAAGAATGAAGTTAACTGGAAAGTGCCTAGATTAACATACTTCATAGCTAGTAACATGATTTGATTTTTTGTTAGCAAATTGTGAAAACGCAGCCACTGGTGTACGCAACCCATTGCTTATGACTTAGCACACTTTTTATACACCAGCTGTTGTGAATATGGCTCATCAAACTGTGCCTTTTTGTTTTGTCTGAATCTAGTTAGTGAGTGCTATTTATTATTTATTTATTTAATATCCTAGCTTTATTATTTTTATATACCCATAAGTAACTCAAAGCAGAAATATATCTAATACAGTACTCTTCCTTATATTTTACCCACAATAAGAGCCCTGTGAGGTAGGCTGGGCTGAGAATATACTTTGGAAGTTTTATGGATTTTCTAAAGGGATCCTGTTAAGAATAAGAAACAGCACAGAAGGCAGCAGTTATATTAATCAAGAGGCTAGAAAACAGTGTTTCTCAATCTTAATAATTTTAAGATATGAGGTCTACAATTTCCAGAATTCCCCAGCCCACTGGAGAATAATGATCTAGAACGAAGTTTTGTATGTGGAAAGATTACATTTTGGATTCAGATATTTAAAAAATACTAATAAAGTAGGACATGACAAAGGCATACAGAATGATATATAGCCGTGATGGCGAACCTATGGCACATGTGCCACAGATGGCACGCATAGCAATATCAGTGGGCACGCCAGCTGAGCTCTGGCACGCATGCGCGCATCGGCCAGCTGATTTTCGGGCCTTCTGGGCCCACCAGAAGTAGGGAACCAGGCTGTTTCCTGCCTCGGAGGGGCTGGGGGTGGGTGGGGAAGGCACGTTTTTCTTTCTTACCTGGCTCCAGATCCTCTCTATGCATCTGCAAAGGGTGAAAACAGCCTTTCCCACTCCCTCGGAGGCCCTCCAAAAGCCTGAAACGGCCCATTTCCCAACTCCCGGTGGGACAGGAAGTGATGTTTTTTGCTGTCCCCAGCCTCCAGAGACTCCTAGAGAGGCTGGGGACAGCAAAAAACATCACTCCTGTCCCACCGGGAGTTGGGAAATGGACCGTTTCAGGCCTCCGGACGGCCTCCTAGGGAGTGGGAAAGGCTGTTTTCACCCTTCGCAGATGCATAGAGAGGATCTGGAGCCAGGTAAGAAAGAAAAATGGGCCTACCAGGCCATCGCGTGCCAGGAGCGCGGGGGGGGGGGGGGGCGCATGCAGTGCAGGGCGCATAGAATTATCGGTGTGGGCACGCGCGCCCGCCCCTCCCCCGCCCCTCCCTCTCCTGGCATGCGATGGCAAAAAGGTTAGCCATCACTGATATATGGTATGGGGAAAGTAAGTCAATATTTCCTCTTTGGAATTCCTGGTGCCGAGTTTGGTTGTTTCCTTGCAGACATTTCATTACCTAATTGGTGGGAGTGCTGCTTTCTTCATGATAATCAAAAAGCTAAAAAGAAAACAAAACGGATCAGAACACCTCCCCATCAGCAATCAACACCCAAACAGGGACTACTAATACCAGACCAACAATCAAGCAGTAAACAATATCCCAGTGAAGGAACTACCACCACAAACAATCAAACAGTTTAATCAAGGAACTACTAAGAAGAAAACAACACTCCCACCAACACTGATACAACAAGCCACTGTATATAAACAGAGAGCAAACCCAACTCCCTTCTAGCACTGAAGATGTTACCTAGTTGTGTAATGAAACATTTGCAAGAAAAAAACCAAGGACAGAGAGCACCAAGGACTCCACAGTAGAACACTGAACTACAAATAGTTTATTCTGTTAATACCAATATTTCTCTTTCACACTGTAATGTTAGAACCTGAGAATTGTCAATGAAGCTAATGGTAATTTAGAGCTGCTAAAATGAAATAAATATATTTCAAACTTCCCAAAATGTCCCATTGCCAATGATTCCTTCACACATCTGTCTTTGGATTTGCAAGAGGCCAAGCAGTAATAAGAGGAGATTTGACACGTGATCATTGTTATGTGAAGCTTTAAGTTAAGAGAACAAAAACTCTTTGTATAAAAAACAAAAATGTTCCAGTGGATATTTTTGACAAAGCAGTTTAGTGAATCCTCAATTAACTGTAAAATATATTATCTTTTTAAGCAGAGCTGTTGGTGGAGCAATCAAAAATACCAGACACACCCACTGTAGCTTCTCAACCTAGCACTTTCTGTATCTGTTAAGACTATCACTCCTATAATCTTAAACTACTGGGACAATGCTGGATTATGGAATTGAATTTTAAACTTTTTAAGAATGTCAAATTGACATGAATGGCTATGTCAAGAGTTAAGTATGTGATTCTGCTCTAAACATGTTTATTCCAAAGCATACTTTATGACTGGGCAGCTCTGCAATATTTTATGTCTAGCCACGTGGCCAATACATCGAACAGCTTCTATGGTGTTTCCGAATGGAATAAACTGCAAACAGGTAAAATTATCTTATACACTGAAATTAAGTTCAAAATTGAAATATTGCTTCTTAGACATTTACCAGGTAAGACAAGCAATGGATAAACCAGATTAAATCAAGCAGTTCAGCTGATTCTTTGCATATATAAGCCTCATTCATTGGTACCTAGGGTGACTGGGATGTTACCTTTCAAAGCAGAGAGAAAAGTGACTCAAAAATCACACACACACACATGTACACTATGAAACTGTAGCTACAAAAGGAAACACATGCTATATCTTGAATGAAGGAGACAGCCAACATTTTTACAGTATTAGGTGTCAGGTCAAGTGTCAAATGAAAAGACTTAAGGTCTAAGAGCCACATTTTATAATCTACTATTACAGTACTTGTAGTACAAGATTCATAATCCTTGCTTGATTTCAATCTCATCCACCAATCTGATCTTTGTTTTCGGCTTTCTATTTTTAAACCTTGTACAGAACAGAAATGGCTATCTCTTAAGTTTTCCAGATTTCTATCTTACATGCCTGCCAAACCTTCATTATCTTAAAATGTTTATTCAAGCCCTTGAAAAGGATAAAAGGAAGAAATCAACCTTTGAATGGATCTAAGCAGGATTTTGAGCATGTAAGTTTATTATTATTATTAGCTACTACTAGCCCACTATATATTATGCCACTTATTGATAGCTCCCGAAAAGGTTAATTTTTCTGATCCAGTTATATAATCTGAATCAAGGACAACTCTGGACAACGTCACCCCAGAGATTTACCCTGCTTCTACTTTAGCCTTCTTCAAACAGGTCCTTGAAACCTGGCATTTATCCCAGACACTGACTTAGATTGGATGGATGGCTCCTTGGGGGAATGATATATGATTGAGACGTTGGTTTGATTTTTTCTGAGTGTTTACTATTTTTTTTCCTTTATTGTTGTTACTTTGTTTTAATATTATGTGCTACAGCACATTAAGAGTTGCTGTGAAATTGGATGATCTAGATTTTCTGTATCTCAATTTCAACTATTACTTTATATAGATTGGCCCTATTGAGGACTGTAATTCAAAACATCTGGAGGACACTCACTCCAATTAACGATCATTCATTAGATTTTTATCATTTTTTGTTAACACAAGGTGGCGTATACACAACTACCTCCTAGTTTCTTCACATCAACTCTGTGAGGCGGGCAAGGCTGAGAAAAATTGACTGTCATGAAGTCATCCAGTTGGCTTTCATGTCTGAAGCATCACTAGAACCTAATTACAGCTGCACATTTAAACTGGCTCTGAAACTGGTAAGAATTTTCCATTAGAATCAACACTCAGGTTTATGAGAAAAAGCATCCAGTCAGGCGCAATGATTGTGGTCAGATTATTTATCAAATTGCATATATAGTCCACCTTTCCTTAAGAGAGTAGAGTTGTGAATGTTTAGATAAATAAAACATTTTATTCATTTATTCATAAATTTTATAAACACCACTTTAGGAACTTATAAAAATGTTCAGATTCTATTGCTTTGCGGTCTTTAAAAAAGGCAACCCGGATGTCATATTCATAATACTTAAAATCAAGGATTTAAAAAGATGAGAAGGCCATACTCACAAAGCAAGCTGAACTAAAAATACTATTTTAGTCTGTACCCAGTGAGGAGCAGTTCAACTTAAATATATATCCCAAACACATACAGCCAAAAGGCCTTTCTTTAATTTTAAGCTCTGTTTGAGCACATCCCCAATATATTTTTTATTTCATTCCCTCATCCAGAACTTCCACTGCCGTTTTGTTTCAACAAGGAAATGATTAAGATTGTTGTGCTGACAAAGAATTTTAAACCAGTAATTTTTCAGAAGGAAGACAACCCATGTGCTCCTGTCTTTCTCATGCTAAACCGATACCAAGTATGGATAAATGTACTTTATATAACCCAGAAGAATTATATAAAAGAGCCAGTTGGCCTAATGGTTAAAGATACTGATTTAAAACAAGAGGGTAGCTTAAAAATAATTCAATGATTTTGAGTTATTTTCTCTCAACCTTAGAAAGAAGACACCAGCAAATCACTTTCAAAATTTTATCTATCTGTCCACGTTAGTCATCAGGAGTCAAAATAGTAATAAATAAAATCCCACAGTATACAGCACAGATTATAGTATCAATTCTGTCACAATCATTAAGGAAAAGTTTTTTGGGAGAGGAGAAAGAAGAAAAATATATTTTATTTACTTAAGAGATTTCCCCCCATCATGTCTGTTTCTTGGAGACTGCCTAGACCAATCCCTGTAGGTTGCTTGGCATGGTTTTTCGGAAGCGGTTTGCCACTGTTTCCTTTCTAGGTTTGAACAAGATTAACCAAGGTCACCCCCACTGGCTTTGTGCCTAAAGTGGAGCTAGAACTCACAATCTCCTGGTTTCTAGCCTGATGCCTCAACTGCTCACCAAAAGAGAAATGATTGAGTTACTCAATTAACCTTGAAAGGCATAATGTACTATACAAAGGCTAAAATTGAATAAAAACTGCATAACATTTGAATATAAATACATATCATTTGAATATAAATGGCATAAAGTTTGAATACAATTTGCAGCTTGCTGTAACCAACAAAAGCTGTTTGAAATAAAGCCAATACTCTACAACAGGAGTGTCAAATTCGCGGCCTATGGACAGGATGCGTCATGCGCTGCCCACACCCACACCCAGTTTAGGGAAGGAGAAAGTCACGATACATCACGTGACAACATGATGATGTGACTTTGACACCCCTGCTCTACAAACTATAATGCCCTAGATTTTGGACAAACCTTCAGCGAATCTACAAACAAAAACAGAGGGTCTTCCATGACAACCATCTCATAACATATAGCATGTCCTGATTTGCACTAGGTCATGATTTCCAAATAAATCCCAACTGACGACAAACTAAGACAATCATAAGAGGATATCATAAAGTAGTGTTTGCTTTTCCATTAGCAAGATGGATGAATCCGTAGTGCATGGATTAGCATGGCTATTTTGCTAGAAAAGTCATTTTGCCAATGTGAGCATCTACACTACTGATTATACTGCTTTAGGATTTAGAGTGAAAACTTCATTAAAGAGTTTTTGATTCCTAGTCAAATCATGAAGTTTACTTGACAACAGCATGAAGGCGGACTTCCACTTTAATCTTGTGGTATGGTTTTGACTAATCCCTTGAAATTTCCCACAATTTCCATTCCAGGTAGTAACAGGGCCCAACCCTACTTAATGTTTCACTTAGTACATTCATAACGGGAAACCCAGGGTGCATTAAGCATACCTCTAAATAGGAAGCTGAAAGCAACTAAGTATTTTTACATAAGTTTCCTTTATAAGGACCATCTCAGGTGCACACCCATTACTGACTACAAAAAAAGAAAAAAAATACTATCTGTACATCCTTTAACCAAATATCTGAACAAAAGGGTTAAAACAAGAAGACACCAACTGTAGATGAGGCCCAGACCTTATTTTATGTCCCATACCCTCTTCCGTCTCTTTTAAAGACTGGATTCAGTGCTTGGCCCAGGGCGGTAGGCAGCGTTACCCGCTGCGGCTAAAAGGCAGCGTTAACCGAATCAAAAAGATCCCACTCTTCAGATTTACTAAATCTGATCCGGAAACGTGGAAGGGGATCCTAACACATCCGCCATCCGCTTACTCAAGCGCCACTTTTTTTTTTAAAAGCATGGGAAGCCCGTCCCACCGCTTTAAAACCTAAACCCCAACTTGCAGGTTCAGACGGATCACCCTAGAGAAGGCTCCTTCCGACGACCTGCCCGGGGCAACGTGCTTCAAGGAGCCGCTCAAGTGCGCAATAATCCCGGGAGAGGCAGAAAAGGATGAGCGAGATGGACGAAGCGGGCCACTTTCGTTACAATCCGGCATCACAATCCAGGGACGGCCGAGAGACCCTTTGAAAGTCTCCCCCGTCCCCTCCCCCGAAATCCCGCATCCCTCCTTACCGGGGGAATACAGTTCAGCCAGTTCCCGGGCTCCCGCGTGCTGGGCTCCCCACCGGGGACAGGAGTCTGCGGCGGCGGCTGCTATTGCTGCTTCTTCTTCTTCCTGGGCAGTTGACGCAGCGGCCTCCGCCTCGGACGACGCCCTGGCCGGTTCGGAGCCGGCTCCAGCCGTCCGGAGCGGGGCGCACTCGGGCATAGTTCCGGCGCGGCCTCGCTCCCCTTCTTCCTCGGGCGGCTCTCGGGGAGCAGCCTCCCCCTGGAGCTCCGGCCCGGCCGCTCGCACCCCAAGGCCAGGGGAGCCGCCTGCCGCCCGCCCGCAGGGCAAGGACGAGGGCGGCGGCGGCGGCGAGAGCAACATCGCGACGCAACCCGCCCCGCGGCCAGCCAGCCGGCACTCGCCCCTCGCCGCCCCTCCGCCCGGCCGAACGAGGCGTCAGGAAGAGCCACGCCCCTCCGGCAAGGAGCCGGCCAATCCGCGCGCGCTCGCCTCAGCCAATAGCGTCCCGGCCTTATGGAGGCGAACGGCCGAACCGGAGCCCATCGGCTCCGCCCACCTGGTTGGCGAGGGTACAAGCGTGGGGGGGGGGGGGAGGGGGGGGGGGGGTTGCTCCTCCCCGGTTTTTCCGCGACGTAGGACCCGGGCCCGGCCGTGGGGCTCCGTGTGGGCGGCTCGTGAGCGGCGGCGAACCCGTTAGACCCTGCGCGTCTGCCGAGCTTCAGGGCGAGGCCGTGGCAAAGCCGGGATGGAAAAATCTGAAGGCGTTGCCCGGGTAGCCGTGCCTTCCATTTCGTTTTGCACGGAGGTGTAGGGGGAAAAAAACCAACCCTGCAATCGTTACTTCTGAGGTGTGTTCGCCTTCCCTGGGGATAAATGAAGTTTATTTTTTACCTCTCTATTCAATAGATGTCTGTGGCCGCCGATCTTAAACGCAAACTCACGGCGGCAGTAAAATCCAGCACGGTAACTATAAAATAATAAAACGAAAAAAAAATGAGTATTGTATTGAGTAAAATACAATAATTACGCATCGGTGGGTTTCTATAAAAATGGAAGCTCTATTCGAACTTTCCTCCTTTCCCTTTTTGAGGTCAAGGTTGTTCCAGTAATTTGCCCCAAATTAATTCCATCCTTATAACCCTCAGGGTGCAATGAGTCTCCGCTTGAGGAGTGATCTTTACAATTTAGGTGGGATTTGAACTCTGAACACAAAAGGTTCATCAGTTTACGGCAGAGGGAACTGCCTTGTGATGATTAGGGGCCACATTTGACTTCGGAGAAGATGGCTAAAAGTAGCCTGGATTGATCTGGTGGTGATCTCTGGTGATCTCAGGATACATCGAGATAATCTTTTTGACAGTGGTAAAGAAGTGCTGGGATTTCCTGGTGGCCTCCAGTCCAGTTCTAATCTTAACTGAAATCAGCCATGATCAGCCAGGTGCTTTTGAAATTAGACTGGGAAGCAAAAAACAGTAATTATTTCTGGATTTTATTTATTCAATTTCTATAGCCACCCAACCCAAAGGTAGTTAAGGCAATTTTTTCAGTGACTGTAGTTACAACACTGAAAAAAATGGCTTATGACCATTTTTCACACTTACGACTGTTGCAGCATCCCCATGGCCACATGATCAACATTGAGATGCTTTGCAACTGACTCATGTTTATGATCTTTGCAGTGTCTTGGGGTCATGTGATCACCTTTTGTGAGCTTCCAACTAGCAAAGTCAATGGGGAAGCCAGATTCACTTTACAACCGTGTAATTTAACAACATCTGGGATTCACTTAACAACTGTGGCAAGAAAGGTCGTAAAATGGTGCAAAACTCAGTTAACGAATGTCACACTTAGCAACAGAAATTTTGGGCTCAAGATGTTTGCAAAAGGTTATCATGTGACCAAGGCACACTGCAATGATCATAAATATGAGTCAGTTGCCAAGCATCTGAATCATGATCACATGACAATGGGGATGCTGCATCGGTGGTGTGAAAAATGATCCTAAGTCACTTTTTTTCAGTGCCGTTGTAACTTCAAACATTTACTAAGTGAACTGTTGTAAGTTGAGGACTTACCTGTATAAACAATGATTTATATGTAGTCCCAGTGGTCAAATTCAGGCACTAAGCCAAAACCAAATGTGCACAGCGTAAAACCAGTCTGACCACAATTGCAAGGAAGATCTTTTCATTTTTCAGATTGTTCCTGCTTTTAAAATATAAGCTGCCAAAAGTTGCGCGGAGTGAGGTGGCTTCTAAATTGTATTGGAACACATTAGTACATAAATAAATATAGCCTATATTTAATCCATTTTCTTTGGCCAAACACTTCATTCGGCAGCCAGATTTTTGACAAGAAGCACTAAATCTTCATTCTCAAACAACTGTGGCAAATAACACAAAAACACAATTTTTTCCATATTATTAGTAATTCTGGATAGTGCTGCTTTTTCTATCTATTGCTTTCAAGAGGCACGGTATTTCATTAATCCCCAGCTGGGAAATACAGGTAGTTCTTGGTTAACTAGGGTAATTGAGATGGGCAACTCCAACATTAAGCGATACTGTCATAAAGCATGATGTCACATGACTGCATTGACTTACAATATCACTTGCGGCAGTTCCAGTTTCCGTTGTTAAATGAGTCCTACAGTATTAAGCATAGTGTCATATGATCACCTCCTGCAATTTCCTACTGGCTTCCCCATTCACTTGGCTTGTCAAAAGGCAACTAAGATTTCAAATGACTGGGGGACACTTGGTTGGGATTACACGCAAATTGCCAAATTCTTGAATTGTGATCATGTGACTGTGGGATGCTATGACAGTCACAACTATGAGGATGGATCATAAATTTCATCCTGCACTGTCAGAACTTTGAAGAGTTGCTGAAGACATGGTTGTTAAATGAGGACTACCCGTAAGAGGAAATGAAGTCCAACACAATCAGAGGGCAGTGACCTGAAAAAAGACTGATTGAGTTACCACGGCTAATAAATTTATCCTTTCCAATATCTTCTCATTCAGTCATGGCAATATCCTTACTGTCTTCTGAGCGTTGTGAGTTTTGCAGCCCAGATATGGTAGCCCTAATTAAGCTGTACCTGAAGGCACGTTTAATATAATTTAGGTGTGGATTATTTGGTTGATGCATATTATTAAACAATGACGTAGTTCTATTAGTCTATGGTGGTAAAAATAGGAGGATATATCTATGGCTTTTAATAAAGCTTGTTAGAAAAGATTTCTGATCGTACACAATTTCTGACTTTTATTTAATGATCTACATGTCACGCAGAGAGTTGTAACAATACTTTGTTTCCCTCTTTTTATCACTTGTCTCTATTGCATAAAAAAAAGCAAGCCTCCTCATTCTTTTTAATCTTATGCACACCGCCCACTCTCATCCTCTCTCCTTCTTACATGACTGGCTTAATGAGCATTTGGGAGAATTATGAAAACTGATCTGAAAAAGTTAGCAGAAGTGATATTTAACTCTTAGCAAGAGGAAAATGGATTATTATGAGCAAGCTATTCTGTTCATTATGCTTTACAGGTAATAAACCACAATTGGGACCCACATTTCCAATACTAAGCAAGGCAGCTGCTAAGTGAGTCACGCCAGATTTTATTATCTTTTTTGCCAAGGTTGTTAAGTGAATTGCTCTTAGATGCCTCATGTGATCATTAAATGAAGCCAGCTGGGAAGATTGCAAATGGTGATCACATGACCCCAGGATGCTGCAACCAATGTTAATACATGCCAGTTGCCAGTTGCCAAGTGCCTAAATGTTGATCTTGTGACTGTTGGAATGCTGCAAATCAGGGGTGAAATGCTACCAGTTTGCACCGGTTCGGGCAAACCGGTAGCAGCGGTGGTGGGTAGTTCGGAGGACCAGTAGCGGCGGCAGCACGAGGCTCCACCCACCCACCCGGATGTCATTACTTTCTGGTTTTAACGAGGAAGTAACCTGCTTTTGACCCTCGTACATGCGCAGAAGGCTTTGCGCATGCGCAGAGGGTCCAAAATTGCACATGATGCACACGCAGCATGTGCACTTCCGAACCGGTAGGGAAGGTAAGTAGATTTCACCTCTGCTGCAAATGATTGTAAGTGGGAGGACCAGTTATAAGTAAAATGTTCCAGTGTTGTAACTTGAACTGGTTGCTAAACAAATAGTTGCAGGTTGACAACTAACTGTGATATTCCCCCACTGCTTTCCATGCAGTGGAGCAGTGGGGCAGTGAGAAAGAGAACAGAGGAGGAAGTAGAGCTAAGTAAACCATGGCTAATCATGACCAAGCATTTGTGTGCACACACAGCTTTAAAAAAAGGAAGTCAGTTTTAGAAATAAGAATTCAGCTGCCGAATGTGTAGAAGGAAATCATGAAGAAAAAAAGGGCAGACTGCCAGGCGAACTCTGAGAATTGCAAATTTGCACAATGACGCTCTAAAATTTATTAGATCCTGCAGTCAACTTCTCAGTAGACTCAAGTAACACTAGAGGCCATAGAAGAATATCAAGGAAGTGGTGATATTGGTTTCCCCAGGGTGGGTTTAAACAAAATTCTCAGTAATTTGGCCTGAGGCTTGAACAGAAGATTTCTTGGTTTTTTTGGTTGCGTTTGAACTACTCACTTTACCAGGACAAAATCAGAAATGATACTTACGTGATGTTTCAATCTAATGATGAGGACAGTTAAGAACAGCTGGTTTCTGTAACAATTGCTTGGGGAGAGTGGTAGCTCAGTAGTTTGGGAGGTAGAATAAATGCTTTTATCTAGAGCAGGGGTGGGGAACGATGGCCCTTTTATGACTTGTGGACTTCAATTCCCAGAATTTCTGAGCCAGCTGCTCAGGAATTCTGGGAGTTAAAGTCCACAAGTCATAAAGTGGCCATGGTTCCCCAACCCTGATCTAGAGTTTCTGTTGCTTGCATGTTTAAATGAAGGCATCTTGATTTAGTTCCTCTCAAATCAGGGAGAGAATTATGTTGTCAATCATGCATCTGGAGCAGGGGTGGGTTCTAAATTTTTTTACTACTGGTTCTGTGGGCGTGGTTATTTTGTGGGTGTGGCTTGATGGTCATGTGACAATTCTTTAGGATTTAGCAGAAGTACTGGTCTACCAGGCTTTTAACTGCTTGCAGGGCTCCACTGGTCTACTCATTTGTTGCTGAAGGCACCGGTCTACTCATTTGTTTTTGGAGGCACTGGTCTACCACCACACTGCCTTTTAACACTGATCAGCTGTAGGGCGGCCCTGTGAAGCCCCGCGGCAAGAGTTTAAACAGATTTTTTCCTTCTAGCCAATCAGCTGGGACTCAGGAGGCAGCAATAGATTGGGGGTGGGGCCAAATAAAAGGTAAGAATAACACTGGGGGGCGGGAGGGGGTCAGAACTGGTTCGGTAATGTCATATTGTTACCGTTACCAGCTTGGTGGAACCGGGAGGAACCGACCACTCATCTGGAGCATATAAAGAGCTTTTTTTTGTGTGCTCCTGGTTGCTCTGTTTCTCTTCTGACATCCACTGTGGTTGAAACAGCATACGCAAATTGCTAGTCTCTATTAACGGGGAACTTCCTATGTAGGTGGCCATGCCTTCCTGCCAAATTTGCTGGTGTCTTAGCAGACAAGGCTTAAATAAACTATTATACTTGTGTCCCGCTTTACCCCAAAGTGTTAGAATTTGATGTTATCTCATATACTCTGATACTTGGTTTCTGTATTCACAAATCAGGTGAATTTACTTCTAAGGACATTGCATACAACTCAGAGGTGAGTTCTACTTACCTTTACTACCGGTTTGCAACGGGGCCATCCGCATGCGCAGAAGTGTTCTGATGACATCAGGGTCAGTGGGTCAGTGGGTGGAGCCTCCTGCCGGTTTTACTACCGGTTCTATAGAACCAGTGCGAACCGGGGCCAACCCACCACTGATACAACTACAGAGTTAATGCTAACATTTTGCCTGGCATCCTGGAAATATTTCATACATGGCAGTCTTCCCTCCACAAACTGGAGGAACCCATGTGCTGAATGCATGTCTAATGAATGGAACTATGACTTAAGGAAGTCCAGGGTTGAGTCCACAGAAAATAATTGCACATATTTAAGCCGATTGTTCTCAATCCAAACTCTCTCACTGTGAAAGAAAAACAACAACAACGAGAGGCATGTTTCATATACTGTCGAGCTTCTGCAGGTAAAATGGAATATAAATTTAATTCAATACAAAAATTGAATAACAATTATTTTCAGTATATTTGGAAACACAGAATATGGAAACTAAGGCCAAGTAGAGCAACTTGTTCGATTGTTTAATGAATTCATATGGCTGCCCATTCATGATTGGTGTCATTTTTTAATTTTATCAAGAATATGCTGTTGCATGCCAACATTGGAATCATATTTCACTGAGCTCTAAAGGCAGAGTGAAAACCTCTTGCTAATACTTGAATATCTGGAGAACATTTGAAGTATATTAAGTATCTCCTACTTCTATTGCCTTGCCCTAATGCTTGTGGAGTCATTGAGACACTTTCTAAATGATTCATTTCTCATTCTGCTAGCCACAAGGAGCCTTGGCTATCAAAGCTCTTCTGCTTAAGATGCCTGTGGGTGAAAATGATGTATTCTATAACCAAGAAGTGCTTTTATCCACAGAGAAGTAGAAATTCATTTTGAAAATGATGGAGAGGAGTTGCCTAGTACCCTGACCAATCAGGTGAGACAGGCTTTGCAGCCTCCATGTATTTCATAATAATTATTTCTGCAGCCCATACAAGTAGTCTTAGAATTATAGCAATAGCATTTAGATTTATATACTGCTTCATAGTGCTTTACAGCCCTCTCTAAGCAGTTTACAGAGTCAGCATATTGCCCCCAACAATGGGAGTCCTCATTTTACCAACGTCGGAAGGATGCAAGGTCGAGTCAACCTTGAACCGGTCAGAATCGAACTGCTGGCAGTGAGCAATGAATTAGCCTGTAATTCTAACCACTGCACCACCACGGCTCATTGGGACTGGAGTGTCTATCATTAAACGTTGTTAAATGAGTCACGTCTGACTGTACAAGGGTTTTTTTGCTGCATTTGTTAAGCAAATCATTCAGTCCTTAAGTGAATTTGGCTTCCCCCATTAACCTTGTTTGATGAAAGTCTCTGGGAAGGTTGGAAATAGTGATCACATAACCCCAAAATCCTACAACTGTCATAAATACAGTTGCTAAGTGCCCTAATTTTTATCATATGATCACAGGGACATTGCAATGGTCATAAATGTGAGGACTGGTCAAAAGTAACTTTTTAAAGCACCATTGTAACTGTGAACGATCATTAAATGAATGGTGATATATTGAACACTGCCTGTAATCTACACAATGCAAATTCCCATTTCCTAGCTCTCCAGGTGAACGAAATTCAAAAACTTCAGCACTTTTCCAAATACGTATATTTAATAGGTTGCCTTGCCAGTCTTCATGGGGGAAAAAAACCCCTATCTATGTGGTTGCTAGAGTTGACTTGATGATACATCATTTAAAACAATGTTGTGATTCTGATGACTTAATGGAAGAATCAACAGGCACTAAAGGGAGAAAAATCTGCCCCTTCCCTGTAGAATTCATTGAAGCAGGCAGCTCAAACAGACACAACAAAAGGCTCATTCAGACACATTTTTTTTATCACTGTGGGCTTTCTTTCAGAAGAAGAGAATCACGTGGTCATGAACTTGAAGATTTTGGCTTGTAAAATCACGCCACCGTTTTTGGTACGACTAGTCCCTGCTGTATGGAATGGAGAGCAAAAACAAATCTTTTGACAGACAAAGCAGCTGCAAGATTATTTTTTTAAAGACCTTTTTTTTTTTATTCCTACCTCTTTTATTTTTATAAATAACATAAGATGGTGAATATACTTAATGCTCTTTCTTCCTCCTATTTTCCCCACAACAAGAAACTTGTGAGGTGAATTGGGCTGAGGGACAGTGACTGGGCCAAAGTCACCCAGCTGGATAAGCCCAACCTAATTCAGGATGGTTTCTAAATAAATTATTGTCCAGGGCATTGTCTACCTTGCTTTGTGGAGGATTATGTTTATCTAATATGTGAAGGCATAGTCTTGTAACTAGGGTTCAGTAAACATACCATAGCGACAGACTTGTACATTATACAAAACCATAATTATTGTTTAAAACCATATTAGCTGAGGTAATACCATTTTGAACTGCAATCTAATAGGACACATTTTGAAATAGGTTGCTTTTACTTAGAAAGCCAAACTATCATGCACTTGGCTATTTTGTGGCTAATTATATAATACAAAGTCAAGGCGGTTACTCTATGATGCAGTACGGACTCAGACAATTGTATTAATTCATCAAGGTAAAGGTAAAGGCAGAAACCTGTGTGGAAGCCAATCACATCTTGACCTAGATTTTCATAGTCTTCCAAAAGACCAGTAAGGTCAGGGCCATCTGAATCTTGAAAATTCAGTCCCCCAAAGAAAAGAAAAATCCATTTCAGCTGTCTCAGATGAGCTTTGTCTATAAAAGAACATTATCCCCCTTAAGGTAAAGGTAAAGGTTCCCCTCTCACATACGTGCTAGTCGTTCCCGACTCTAGGGGACGGTGCTCATCTCCGTTTCAAAGCCGAAGAGCCAGCTCTGTCTGAAGACGTCTCCGTGGTCATGTGACCGGCATGACTTAAACGCCAAAGGCGCACGGAACGCTGTTACCTTCCCACCAAAGGTGGTCCCTATTTTTCTACTTGCATTTTTTACATGCTTTTGAACTGCTAGATTGGCAGAAGCTGGCACAAGTAACGGGAGCTCACTCCCTTACACTGCACTAGGGATTCGAACCGCCAAACTGCCAACCTTTCTGATCGACAAGCTCAACATCTTAGCCACTGAGCCACCACGTCCCCTTTAATTCATCAAATCATGGCTCAAATGAATAAAGGCTCAAGATGTCTATGGAGAGTCTCAATTATCCAGGTCATGGTTATCCCAAAGGTGCTTTTTCCAAAAGGCAACTGGACTTTCTTGGGTTTTGTTTTTTTTCCTGAAAAACGTCAGATCTCCTGCTAGAACTGAAGAAGGCTCAGGATATTGCACAAACACAGCCATGGGGATCTTCAGAAGCATATCTGAATCACTTTGGTCCCAATGTTCCACTCCTGAGCCTTTTTTGACCCAGCTGAAGGGTATTTGAAATTGCAGTAACACCTCTGTCTGTGTGTGTTGTTTTTAAAATGCTGTTGCTCTATAGGGCTTTGGGCAGAGGTGGGTTTCACATATTTTTACCACCGGTTAGCTGTGCGTGCACCTTCTGTGCATGCACCTGCCCTTCCGCACACGCGCTGTGCTCGCGCGGGCTCTGGGGTGGGTTCTACTTACCTTTACTATTGGTTCGCAATGGGATACCGAGCTTCTGCACATACGCAGAAGCTTTTGTGCGTGCGCAGATCGCCTATGATGACATCTGGGGTGGTGGGCGGAGCCTCCTGCCAGTTTTACTACCAGTTCTTGCGAACCGGTCTGAACCGGGGTCAACCCACTACTGGCGTGTGCCTTCTGCACATGCACCAGGCCTCGAAAACATGGCTAAATTGGAAGTCATAGCGCCCAGGTGGGTAGGCACCCGCCATCTCCACTACCGGTTTGCCCGAACCGGTCCAAACCGGCTGAATACCACCACTGGCTTTGGGGCTGTTCATTTCCACATTTGCAGTAACTCCTCCACCACAGCTCTTCTGGCCTTCAGATCCTTAAAAGAGATGGTTGCCTTGGTATTTTTGCATTCCCCCCTCCAAGAACCTCTATGGCCCTTTTTGTGTACCTGAGGAACTGTATTTTTCCAAGAGTTTCTACCCATCCAATTCGATCCAGAATAACAGAATACTAGACTTGAAAGGAACCTTGGAGGTCATCTAGTCCAACCCCCTGCTGAGGCAGGAAACTATGCCATGTCAGACAAATGGTTATCCAACATCTTAAAAACGTCCAGTGTTAGAGCATCCACAACTTCTGAAGGCAAGTCATTCCACTGATTAATTGTTCTAACTATCAGGAAATTTCTCCTTAATTCTAGGTGGCTTCACTCCTTGATTAGTTTCCATTCATTGCTTCTTATCCTGCTTTGAGGTGCTTTGGAGAATAGTTTGACTCCCTCTTCTTTGTGGCAACCTATGAGATACTGGAACACTGCTATCATGTCTCCCCTAGTCCTTCTTTTCAATAAACTAGACATAACCCAATTCCAGCAAGCATTCTATATAAAAGTGGTGGGTTGCCCCCGGTTCGGACCGGTTCGCAAGAACCGGTAGTAAAACCAGCGGGAGGCTCTGCCCACCGCCCCAGATATTGTCATAGGTTGGCATGTGTGTGCATGAAGCAAGGGCACACGTGCGATCCCGTTGCGAACCGGTAGTAAAGGGAAGTAGAACCCACCCCTGCTTTATATGTTTTAGCCTCCAGTCCAGTGGTGAAATGTAAAGTTTGTTACTACTGGTTCTGTGGGCATGGCTTGGTGGAGGGGGGGGGGTAATGTGATGGTGGGCGTGGCGAACTTTTTTTTTTTTTTACTTTTAAAAGCATTTTTTAAACCTTAAGAGGGTGCAGGAAAAAAATGCTTTTAAAAGCCTCTGACGATCAGGCAACTCAGCTGGGATCATCAGAGGCTTTTAAAGGCATTTTTTTTGGTACAACCTCTTCAGTCTAGCTGAGCCGTACGATCATCAGAGGCTTTTTTTTTTAACTTTTAAAAGCATTCTTTCGGCTGAAGAGGTTGTAGAAAAAATGCTTTTAAAAGTAAAAAAAAAGTCTCTGATGATCGCACGGCTCAGCTGGGCATGGGAGGGGGGACAGGAATTTTTGCTATCGGTTCTCTGAACCACCCGCTGCCATCACTACTGGATCGGGCGATCTGGTCCAAACCAGGCGCATTTCACCCCTCCTCCAGTCCCCTAATCATCTCTGTTGCTCTTCTCTGTGCTCTTTACTCTTTCTAGAGATCCAGGAGATTGGGCATGTTGCAGACCCATCAGCAATTGGTGGGAACTAAAAGGCCTTTGTTGTAGCTCCTGCTTTGTGGAATATTCTCTCTCTTGGAGAAAAAAATTTTTTTCCTTTAAAAACTTGCTTTAAAAGCTTGCTTGCAGGTCTAAGCTTGTGTTAAGAGCTCTGTTTCTTGGCTTTACTCCTAGTTGGTTAAGTATCTTCGCTGCTGTATGTTTTAATTTTTTGAAGTTTTTATTATTTTTAATTGTTTTAACTAGTTTATAGTTTTTGAAGCGTAAGCCACCCAGAGTTATTTGGCTGAGGTGGACAGCTATAGAAAGGTAATAAATAAATGTGCACACAACATGGAGCAAGGCCATGGATGGGATGTAATTGAGAAGAGTCCAGGGGTGAAATCCAGCAGGTTCTGACAGGTTCTGGAGAACTGGTAGCGGAAATTTTGAGCAGTTCAGAGAACCGGCAAATACCACCTCTGGCTGGCCCCAGAGTGGGGAGGGAATGGAGATTTTGCAATATCCCTGCCCTGCCACTCCCACCAAGCCACACCACTCCCACCAAGTCACGCCCACAGAACCGGTAGTAAAAAATTTGGATTTCACCACTGGAAGAACCATAGTTGTAGAGCAGACCCTGCATAGAAAAGATTCCAGGCGTAGGTCTATATTTTCCCACCGAAGAAAACCTCAGCAAATGAGGTTAATTCAAGTAGAGTTTCTTGTGTTGCTGGAGAGGCTGACACAGGCCAATTAATTTCAATTCAAGGTAAACCTCACAAGTCAGAAAGGAAACATTGATAAATTTATTTATTTATTGGTTCGATTTATATGCCGCCCTTCTCCGGAGACTCAGGGCAGCTTACAATGCGTTAAGCAATAGCCTTCATACTTTTGTATATTTATTTATTTATTTATTTATTTATTTATTTATTTATTTATTTATACCTGCTTAGTAGGGCTTTCGGCCCCCACCCCAAGCGGTGTTCTTTTTTATACAAAGTCAGCTTATTGCCCCCACAATCCGGGTCCTCATTTTACCTACCTCGAAAGGATGGAAGGCTGAGTCAACCTTGAGCCTGGTGAGATTTGAACTTGCAGTAATTGCAGGCAGCTGGCAGCTAAGTGCTACTTAATAGCACTTTAGTCCGCTGCGCCACCAAGGCAGTTGCCCTGACAACATTTTAACCAATAAGTCTCCTTCAAGTCAGGCTTCCTTCTGAATGAGCTCATGGTCAGAATATGGAAGTGGTTTGTGATTGTTTTTAATTTTTCATTCTGGCTTCCCAGTTCAACCTTTGCAGGTTCCTGCTGCATCGATAAGCGAGTCAGCTTAGGTAGGCAGATTAGTTAACAGTTTTAACCACACAGTCTAGTAATATAGTAGAGAAATTAACTGCTTGATTCAATTTATTATGCTTATGCTGCTGTTAGAAGAAATATCCTTCTGGGTTCAGCTCCAAGTGGGGAAAAAGACACTGGAAACATGGAAACTGCTTGGAAAGATGGTTTAATGGTGGACAGGTTCACATGGTTTGAGTTCCTGAACAGAAAAGAGCTGAGATACAGCGAGTCCCTGGGTTTTATGCCCTCTCTGGCTTTGAACTTCCTGGGGCCCAGAAAGAGTATCCTGATTGGTTGTCAGACTCCCAGGGGGTGGGGGTCTTAGCTAGCCTTGCTGGCTGATGTAATCTTCCCAGGTGCCATGTGGTGAGTTTCTGTTGCTAAATGGGTCCTATTGTGTTAGTTTCTGTTGCTAGATGGGTCCTATTGTGTTGCAGATGATGGTCCATTGACAAAGATGGGAGGGAATTGAGTTTCTGCCTCTGGCTCATTGACAAAGGGGAGGGGGGGCAAAAAGGTGGGAACTGCTTCGTCTTTAAAACATGCTTCTCCATTTCTCATCCAGGGAAACATAATATTCTGCCTTTTTTATATTTCCTAAAATATTTAATTCTTCTAGGAAAGGGGTGGGTGCTAACTTCCTACACTGCAAAGATTCTAAGGAAACAGGAAATATAGGTTAAGAAATCAATTTTAAAATGAGAAAAGGTA